TTTCATCCCTGGGCTCTGTGGGAAGACAACTTCTTCCATCAAAGCAACACCCTTATGCTAAGTGCTTTACGTAAAACATTTTTTATTTTATTTTGTTAACTTGGTTTAGAATAATCTCACAATGTGTATAAACTTTACAGGAGTGCTATTGATGGTAAAAATATGTCGATGATAACTATACAGAGAACTGCTACCTCTTTACCTCTGCTCTTTGTAGGCTCCAGCTAACAGATATATATTCAGCTATCTTTAAAGATTAGGTGAGAAGTTTGGGGTTTTAAAAAAACAAAATTCATACTCCCCCCCTTGTTGCAGAATCTGTGTCCCACGTTGGATGTAACCCAGAGAACTGAGTGATGACAGGGCTTCTGATCGCTCAGCTCTTGGTCTACTCAGGGTGGAGTATCGGGCAGGAGAGTAGGCAGGAGTGGTTTGCCTATGGCTCTTAGCCCATAATGTCATGATCATTTCAGAGCCTGACTCATAAGAGAAGTATAGCCAAAAAAGCTTGGCCACACTTCTCGTTTAAAGGTTTAATTTTTCAAATAAAATGTGGGTTATAACTATTTTCAAATTTCCAAAGATGTTACCCATCTCAACTTGGTTATCTTTTGTTCTATTGGATGCCTGTTCTATTCATGTTGAAATAAATTCCATGCTAAATGTAATCACTAGGCTAATACTACCACAATGATAGTTGTATCCACATAGGGATAGGTACATGGAGAACACTGGAAATTATGTTTTTTAGGGAAAAAAAAAACATTATCCTTACATGAGCTCCACTGACCTCCAATGTTTCCTGCCCTTCTATGATATAATTTTCAGAACATGACCTCTGTGGCTTTTAATTTCTTAGGTTTCCCTGTGGAACATTTCCAATGACCCTGACATAATTAATTTTACAATATGAGGGAACCTAAAAAAATGGCTGTTATTTTATGTCATCACCGAGGTTCCCATCCCACACTGGTTAATGCAACTATTTTGTGGCAGGAGCAGAGTATTCTGAACCTTGTATACTGTATATTAAAATTGGAGAAAAAAGGATATGTAATCTAGCCACAATACAATTTTTATTTCTGCTGTTGCATATACATATACTGTCATATAGCATTATAAACCCTTAGGAGACCTAAGCTGAAATTAAATAAAAACTAAAAAATCCCCTGCACTCAGACTTCTATTCAGACCATAAGAGAGCTGCCAGGAGAGATCAAACTTCGATGTTCATAACTGTGCAGCACTAAACCATTTTAAAAAAACTCAAATAAAACATATTAAATAAAGGAAAATAATTAAATTTGTGATAACAATACAAGTCCCATCAAAGTAGCAGTCCATAAAAAGTCCCAGTACTGAAGACATGAACACTTTTCAACTTCAGTGTTGATGAACCAGAATCTTTGTGCAAAAATAAATTGCCCAGATTTCACCATTCCACCAAGGACAGGCAACACAGAATCCTTTTCAAGTTGATTTGAACCCCAGAGACTGAGTGGTCAAATAGCACTCTGTATAAACAATCAGGCATCCTAGCCCCATAATGCTTCACCAATCTCAGGTAGGTATTCATCTCATAGGAAATATATAAATCAACTGCCTCATAGTGTAGCATCAAAAGGATCAAATTCATTAAAATTTAAAATAACACACTCACATGGTATTGAAATAGATATGCATATCAGAAATCTGTAAAAACAACTCTGGAGATTGTGCCATTGTCCTTTGCGTGATAACGCCACAGACTCCGCCCTACGCATTTCATCATACGACATCTGGTTCATCAACTCTAAAGTTTAAAAGTGTTCACAACTTCAGTACTGAAAGTATCACTAATTAATATACTTGGGATATTGATGGACTGCTAGAATGGCATCTGTTTGAAAATATGGTTTGGATCACTGTCCAACAGCTTGCCACCTGATCACTATTTACTAGATTCCACATTGTCACCACATGGAAGAGATGTCACTTCCTTGCTGATGGTAATGCTGTAGAATGTCTCTTGACAGTGATGGGGCAACAATGTCTAGTTCATCTGGGCAGGGAGGTAGGGACACCATGGAAGTAGGTGATTATTTCTTTACACAAAGGCAGAGGGGCCACATAGCATTAAAGGTATTGCCATCATTTACATTGTCAATTATTTTGACAATATGTGTGATTCTCAAACTAATTCTAGATCTAAAAGGAATGCATGTTTGATTGAATTGCTGTTCATTGTATAGAGAAAGTAGGAGGTGTTTTTGAATGAGCCATTGTGAATTAAGTTCCTCCTGTTCCTATTTAACAATCCTTGTGGGTTACCAGTCTACCCTGTATATATGTCTAAATGTAGACCAAGTATGTACTGGTGGAACAAATCTATATTGTGTGTAAAACCTAAACTAAAATAGATTGTGTTCCTTGGTCTCTGTCACTCTCCTTCCTTTTCTTTCCATTCAATTCCCTTTTTCCTTTCTCTTTTTTACCTGGTGCGGAGCAGCAGATCCTAGAAGTAAGTACAGCTGCTATCCTGGAATGCATGAGTTAACCTGTCATGTGTAGCTCTTAGTTATTGTCTGCATGCTGTCTTGCTGAGTGTACACTGCTTTTTGTTCTTTCTGGACAAATTGTTTGGGATGTTGGCAAGCCAATGCTGGATGGAGCTGTAAGAGTAGTCAGAAACAAGGTGGTAAAACTACAGTATGTACAAAATGCATGTCACATGAGATACAATACACAGTGTTCAAATATTACCATTGCAGTTTTTTTTTGCTGAAAAAACACATGAAGCAAAATGGTAGTCTTAGTCATGTTTCTGGCGAGAATGTGCTTTCACAGCAAAGGATCTTTAATGTATAAAGGTCATGGTAATACAGATTACAAGTTTGAATCACTACATCCTCAGGACTATTATCAAAGAAATTAAAAGGACCAGTGAGTACGTTTTGATTGAAACAGCTGCTTAAACAGCTATAAACCTTTCCATATGAGTATAACATTAGATGTTTGCCATGTTATTCTTATTTACTACATTGATTTTAGACCGTATTGTTCTGTGTAATCATCGGTTTTATAAAATGAAAAAGGAAAGAACTGTCTCATACAACTCATACCAATTAATCAGGTTTAAACACATATATATAAAACGACAATGTATTTTCTGTATTGTGTATAATTCAGCATACTTGAACCATATCATTGATTTAAATGAAAAATTCCTCGGTGGTTTTGATTGTTTTTTTGTGTGTGGAGGGAGGCTAATCCTAGCCTAAAACTTTTCATATGATACAGTGATCCTGCTCTAATCCTGCACCAGTGAATAAGACTACAAAACAGCTTAAGAGAAAAATCACAATGCTAATTGTGAAAATTACTTGTTAGGTAATTTCATGTCACATTTGAAAAAATTGTACTTGTTGTATACCATTTAATACAAAAGCTATACAATTCTAATTAGTAGTAATAAATATACAGACTGCACTAGACTTGATAATACCCATTGTGCATATTTATTACTAACCACCGGCAAGTTCTGGCATTCCTCTCCTAAATGTAAAAATCAGCATTTTTTGCTAGAAAATGACTTAGAACCCCCATACATTTTTTTCCAAGCAGAGGCCCTAGAGAATAAAATGGTGGGTGTTGCATTTTTGTTATGTAACATGGTTTTGTGCAGCGGTATTTCAAAATGCAATAAAAAAAAATGCACTTTCATGCATTTTAATGCACAAAAATACAATATAATACTCAATTGTTTGATAAAATATGAAAGATGATGTTACGCCAAGATACCTAACATGTCATGCTTTAAAATTGCGCACACTCATGGAACGGTGACAAACTACGACACATTAAATTATCCATTGGCAACATTTTAAAAGCTTTTACAGGGCACCAATTTAGAGTTACACAGGAGGTCTGCTGCTATAATTATTGCTCTTTCTATAATGTTCACGGTGATACCTCTTGTGTGGGGCTTGCATCCAATTCATGTACCTGTTCGAGACATGTACATGAATCTGTCAGAGCCCAGCATTAAGATTAGAGTGTCCATACTGGATACCCCTTCCTCAGTGGGGTCACAAGGGGGCATTACAGCACTGCACACTGATCAAGAGACAGTTGGTTTGATATTGTCCACAGTATAATGACAGCCTGGCATTGATTTGATCAACACAATTTGTTTTTTAACTGGGTCTTTTTGTCCTTCCTATGGCGCACTATCATAGCTGGGGACCACTTGGGATGACACATGTGTTGCAACCATAAATGGGGCATGGCTCCTTGTTTTCTGAATTGAAGCATTGTTACTGATGGTGTTCTATGAAGCTACATGTATTTTCCTGAAGAAGCCTAGTAGGTGAAACACGTAGAGAGTAGCTTTCAGCAATATGTCAAAGAAGAAGTGTATTTGAATCATGTTTGGAACCTGTACTATGCTGAAATACTGGATTTTATTCTCTTTTAACTATTTGTATCAATAAATGGAAGTTTTTCTTTTTTAACTTTTATATGTGGTTTTGGCACCTTGAAAATGCCCTTTTGTTTTCTTCCTATTGACATTATTATTACTGGGATGTGGTGCTGTGGAACCTAGTTAGCTCCAGTCTCCATTTACTCAACTTTTTTCTACAAAGTGTTTAAAAGTTGAGTTTTATTATTACATTCAGTCACAGAACTGAGAGCTACAGCCAGCGAGCATGAGGTCCAGATGAAGAGTTAACCCACAGATGAGATTTTTGTTGTACTTTATCTCCTGGCATTCCTCCACACTCCCACACTGCTTGTTTCTGGTCCCTGGTTCCACCGAACATCACATTCTTTATGTTGTACCTCCCCCTTCTATGTAGGCATCTCAGAGATTCCAGAAAGTTAGTTTCTATCATTCTTAACAAGATATAAGAAGCACAGGCAGCCTTGCCTTGTTTACCAGATTCCTTTCAATTTGTGGTTTTCAGATTAAGATGCTTTCTGATCGTAAGCGGGAGCTTGAGGAGCAACTGAGCACCATAATGGAAGAAAACGATCAGCTTCAGGGAATTGTAGAGGAGCTGCATGACCGAGAGTTAGCCCTAAATCAAGAGAGCTGTGCCAAGGAACTTCAGGTACATACATACTTTGGTCAATAAATGCATTCTGTTAACAAAAGTGCCATTTTGGTGAATCTTATAACCTATTATTTCATTTAACCGAATAAAAATACAGGACAATTTACTTAGCATAGGTTATTTTATTAGCATTCTTTTTAGTAGTAGTGGTATATGGTGATTATATATACATATAGTTCATAAATTTACAGCTGAACTTCAGGCAAGCAGCTAAATGAAAGCACATTGTTAAAATGCATGCTTTTTAACCTGTCAAAAGATTTATATTTCTGTTCACTTCTAAAATTTACATGCAGTTCAGTAATACAGCATGATCACCTTCTACCCCTAACCTGTGGTTGAACAGAGGAGGAGCAGCAGCAACAGATTGATGAGGTTACCACTTTGCTCTCTCCTTCACTCAACATTTTCATTGTCAGCACATTTTTTGCATGCAGCACTTCTGATTGGCTCCCAGGACTGCCCCTGCTATTCCCAGTCAAATGCTGCTGTACAGGAAATCCCAAGAGACCTATCTTAGAGGGGTTGTAAAAGCTGAAGGTTTTTATGCAGAAAGGTAAAAAACCCCCCTCAGCCCCCTTTAATACTTATCTGAGCCCAATCCTGATCCAGCAATGTGCACGAGAGCAGATGCTTTCTCTCCTCATTGGCTGAGATACAGTGGCAACCATTGGCTCCCACTGCTGTCAACCACAGCCAGTGAGGAGGGAGCAGGGGAGGGGCCGCGATGCATTCTCTGTGTCTTATGGATACACAAAGGCGGCTGGGAAACAAGCGTGCCCCCAGAGCAAGCAGATTTTTTGAGCACATGCATTTTGATTTGCATCTTTTATATTATTTCTTCTTCTCTTAGATTGTCATCTCTAACAAATAAAGGTCCACAAACCTTTTGTTTTTAGTTATGTACTGTTAGATTGAATGCATAGTGTACTCATTTTGCAACACATATAAAGGCAGGATAATATTATTTCCTTAACATCATAACATTTTCTGTGGTTCTGTATTGTAGAAAAAAATGGGAGTGTATGGTTAACAAAAAAAAAAAACACAGTTTTCTTTAATGCATTTCTAAATAGATGTAGCAAGTAGTCTAGCTGTGCTGCCTTTTAAATACATCGACATTTAGGTGATTGGAAACATTATTTACATTTTATCTAACAGTATTAATTGTTCTTGATCTTTTTGCAGTAGATACACTGTCTACAAATTAGTGTTCAAGATACAGCATGAAACAATAATAGCCTAATCCCACACCCCCAACCTGATGATTTTAGGAGGTTTCCTTTTTGCAGCTGGTTGTAGAAACCACTGCACTGCTAGGATCAGGTTAAATCTTCTTTAAATATTCCTTTTATTCATGTATTCATCTTTATCATCATCAGAAACCACTTTTGTGAATGGCAATCCCATTTTGTCCTGGATTTCAGCGCTCTATTCTTCTCCCTTAGCCTGTGTAAAATATGCCGGCCTCCTCTCTGACCATTTTCCTATTTTCTGAGGCACTAGGCAAGGATGCCCCTTTTTTTCCATCCTATTTGTCTTTGCACTTCAACCCTTGGCCATTGCGCTCCTGTCGGGCCCTAATATCTCAGGGGTTACCTATGCGGGAACCCATTGCAAAGTAAATTTATTCACCGATGATGCTCTCCTTACCTTGTCAAATCCCTTAACCTCTCTGCCTAATTTACAACGCCTTCTTTCCCGCTTCTCAGTATTATCGGGCCTCCAGATTAACCCTCATAAAACAACGGAACTTAATATTTCCCTGCCCCCTTCCTCAGACTCCTCTCTAGACTACCTGAGAGTCAAACTGACCTCATCCTATTCTATCCTCTTTTCGCCAACTATTATCCGCTTCTTCAGACAGTCAGCTCTTTAATACAGTCATGGCAATTTTCCTCCTTATTGTGGATTGGCCGTATACAATCTATAAAAATTACCATCCTCCCAAAAATTCTATATTACTTCCGAACTTTACCCATTCAGGTACCCTCCTTTTTTTTACACCTACTGCAAAACAGAATTCTCTCTTTTATTTGGGCTTATAAATGCCCCAGAGTCTCTCGCTTTACACTGTACACCCATAGACTGAGGAGGTCTGGGGGTTCCTACTGTAGTGAAGCATTATAAAGTGGCACAGATTGCCCAATTTACCCTGCTCCATGCAACCATGGATATCCCCTTGTGGGTATTCCTGGAACTTCCCAACTGTGCACCTCTTCCTGTGTTGGCTCTGCTATGGCTCCCCCATAGACTTCACCCCTCTCCACTTAGCTCCTTAATGCTCCATAGCCTGAAAGTCTGGGATTCGGTCCGCTATTCCGACAACCTTGTGTCCCCCTTTCTACCCTTTTTACTGTTACTCAACAACCCTCTCTTTCCTCCAGGTCAACAGCCAGAAACGTTTAGTTGGTGGTCAACTCATGGCTTCACCCAGGTTCGACACTTCCTCATCTCATGTACTTTCCCCTCTCGGCCCTCTGTTCACGAGGCCTATGGTGCACTGACGACTGAGTTTCTTTGCTATGTTCAACTCCGCCATTGGATATCTTCTCTGAGATGCAGCTCTACATTCCCTTATTGGTCCATGGCCTTCAAACATCTCTGTTGGCACTCCTCGGGTGTGCACTTTTACTCTTCTTTATTCCTCACTGAACACTGTAGACTCTCCCTCCTCCATTGCTTAAAAGTCCAGCAGGGAGAGAGATCTGGGATCCCCCACTGAACCGGAGGATTGGACCAAAGCCTGGTCTTCTGTCTCTCATTGCTCATTCAACATGACCACAATGGAAGCTGCAGGTGGTACTGGGTCCCTGCCCACATTGCAAGTTCGAACCTCGAGTATGATGATAGATGCTTCAGAGGCTGTGGACAACAGGGTAAAGTGGTTCATACTTGGTAGCCGCATCCACGTCTCACGGGGTTCTGGTCCAGGGTTTTTGGCCTCCTATACTCCATATTCCACATCCCAGTCCCCAAAGAAGCTAAACTGGCCCTGTTACACTGTTCTATCAGGGATTTATTTTCTCACCAACAAAAATTAGCCACCTACCTGTTCATAGCTGCTAAACGTGTCATCGCCAAGGTGTGGAAGACAACATCAGTGTCGTTTCAAATGGTGAAAACTAACCTGACAACCTTGATGTTACATGAAAAGATGTCCAGCATCCTACACAAGCCAAATTTTTTAAAGTATGGAGTCCCTGGTGGACCTACGCCTTTCCTAACCTATCCCCATTTGGTTTGGGTATTTCCTGAGTTTTGACCGCCTAGGCCTGCAGGAGCTTCCGCCATCCCCTCCTCCTGCTCTTCTTTCTTCTTTCCCCTTCCTTCTGTTCTCTTCTTTTTCTGCCTTTACCTATCCAGTTTTTTTTAACCAAAATAAAAACTTCATTTCTATAGTTTTCCATGCTTGTTTTATTGAGCCCCCAGGACTAGGTCCTGGGTCATTAATGCAACCCTGAGGCTCAAGTCGTAAGACTGCACTGTAAATAATTTTATTGTAAACAAAGTTGTTGTAACTTGTCATTTGTTATTTTGTCTTATACTACTGTGTGGGCAACCAGTTGTATTGTAATGTTATATGTTCTAATAAAAAAATTGAACCAGAAAATAGGAGGGGTGCAGAGTAAAACATATGCTTGGAAATGAAAGGAGACACTCTTCCAGGACCAGGAGATGGAAGCGAGAATAAAAAAAGAAATAGAACAATATTTTTTGTCAAATGAAACGGAGGGAGTCTCAGTGGCCAGGGTATGGCACATAAGGCATATGTAAGGGGTATTTTGATTGCCATAGGGGCAGAAAAAAAGGTTGGAAAGGATACAAATACTAGTAGAGGAATTATATGCATTAGAACAATCACATAAAAAGAGAACAGAAACTGAAGTACAACATAAGATAATCTTAAAAAGAGAACTAAGTAACTTAATGGAACAGGAAACAAATAGGACCTTTAATATGGTGTAAAGAGAAAGATATCAATGGGAGAATAGACCAGGAAAATATTTGGCAAGGATGGTCAGGAAAAAAAAATCTTTAAATTTTATAGAGAAAGTTAGAAATAAAACAGGACAATTAGTTTATCCAGCTAAAATAATTGCTAGTGTATTTCAAAAATATTACAGTTCCTTATATGCAGTTAAATCCAAGAATCAAAAAGAACTGGAAGAAGATAGGAGAATAAAAACCCAGATATATTCAAAAGTGGCTGGACTACATAGAGTAGAGGAAGAAAGACTGGCAATGTTAGAAAGACCGGCAATGTTAGAAAGACCAATCCCACAAGAAGAAATACAAGTTGCACGAAGGAGTAAAGCAACAGGGAAGAGCCCTGGGCCAGATAAATATACGGTGAGATACTATATACCAGGAAGAGGAGGTAGAGAAAATGGCCGAAGATCACTCCTCCTCCTAGAAAAGAGCAAGAAGGAGAAGTCCCCAGTGCTATTCCTGTTGATAGATGCTGAAAAAGCGTTTGACAGGGTAGATTGGGGATTTATGATGAGTACCTTTATAGGTGATAGGATTGGGTCCAAAAATAGTCCAGTGGATACAATCTCTATATAGTCATCCCGCAGCAGTGGTAAAGATCAATGGTTCATTGTCTCAACCTTTTGAAATGTACAGTGGAACTATGCAGGGATGCCCATTTTCACCTCTTCTGTTTGTTTTATCCTTGGAGTCCTTATTAGCAACTATACGAAAAAGTGTAGACATAAAATGAATATGGAGAGGAGAAGTGGAACATAAACTAGCAGTGTATGCAGACAATATGTTATTCTATGTTGTAAATCCCAGAGTAACTTTGCCAAACCTAATGTGAATATTCAAGTATTATGAAGAGATATCAAACTTTAAAATTAATCTTTTAAAATCTGAGATTTTAGATATTAATATACCGAGAGTAGAAAGACAGGCATTACAAGAAAAATTTTAGGTGGAAGGATAAAGAACTAAAGTACTTAGGAGTAAAGTTAACCCCATCACGTAAGAGT